ACGGACTTGGAATGCACCTGCTGCACAGTTTCAAAATGGAGTATATCAAATAACAATCATTTAGCATGGCTCACTATGCTATTGTTCCAAAATTCTAAAAATCATTGTACCATCATGTTCTCTACGCTAGGGTCTGTTTTTCGTGGTGCGCTTCGTTCTGCACGTCCGTCGAACTAGGTCACGCGGCAGCCTCGTACGCGGCGCGTCAGCCCGCGATTTTCAACTGAAGTTGCTGTTGTGAGTGGGGCATAGAGAAGAACTCAGTCATCAGTAGAGCGAATGACTTCCCTCAGAAAGAGAGAAGTCATTCGCTCTACTGACACTTAGTAATACTGTAGTGTCATCTCGAGATCGTAGTGGGCTGCGCCGCGCGGGAGTTGGAAGGAGTGACCTAGTTCGGTGTGATGACGTTACTCGTTCTCCATAGCGTGAAGATAGAGCTGCGACTTTCGGGAAAAAAAATTCGGAAACAGATATTATAGTTATATACTGTAGTCACGCGAGTAATCATCAAAGGAATGGTAGAACACATTATAAAGGAGAACGGTGAGCAAGGAGGGTTTGGGAGAAGGTCCAGTACGGTCGATCCCATATGCACTACTAGAAGACTCATTGAAATGTCGCGGGAGTGCGGGGTGACGTTGTGTGTTGTGTTCATCGGTTCGGCTAAGATTTCTGATACCGTCGACAAAGAAGCGGTAATTAGAGTGTCAGGCACCCGGGGTGTTCCTATTCAGCTTATGCTTCTTGAGCTCATGGGGATCTAGGCCCTACGACTCCGCCATCTAAAAATTCCTCACAAGTAATGGAAGCAGTATCTCTGAATGTTCTAGCTACGTGTATCTATTGCGAGAAGTCAACATGCTGAGCGATCTAGATCCGGAGCTGGGCAGAAAGAATCACGCAACATTGGAGCATTCAAGAACGTCGAGGGATCAGCGAAAAAGACAACGAACGTCACGCAGCCGCAGACGTTTCTCGTCGGTAGTGTAATGTTGTTGAAAAGTGGAGCTAAAATGGATAGTAGTGTTTTCTGAGCTCAGAGAGGAGTTTTGGAAAAATAAAATGCATTCGCCTATCACAACCCGTCGCCTACAACTTATCCGATATCTTGCTTTTCAGCTCAGCTGCTCTACCACCTATGCAAATCCATCGGTAATTACTGTTGCAGTGGAGATTATTCGTAAGTGTCATAAATGCCGTGGAAATTCTCACAAAGTTACCCATTTTTTCCTTTCTAAACCGCTTCAGACGATGCTTACTCATCCATAGGTCAGGCGGTCTCATAATGCTTCCTAATATTATCTTCACCTCATTGATAAGTCGATACTGTTCGCGCTTCCAACGATTAAGAGTGGAAATAAGCATTAAAAATGTTTGCCGTACCTCCGCATTCACCCTGATTGCATTTGCCATCTTCGAGTTCGCATGTACAGCACTGAACATTTGAATAAATAAAACGATTAAACAAGTATGCTTACCTTTTCCACAATCAATGTGCAAAACTTCTCTAACACCTGTATCTTCTTTGCTTCAACAG